GGAGATAGAGAGATACAAAGTAACATTGTTTATAAACATTAGATGGGAGATTGTTGTTGAGAGGACAGTACAGGACACTGAGGTACTGATATTTGTTGTATTTACGAATATTATAGTTATGATGTGTAAGTATTTTCCTTGCCCTGGGAGAGGCTACGTCACTGACCATGTGATTAACAAATGACATGGTTTGTTTTCCAGAGCCCACCCAGATTTATCGATTTCTGAGGACAAGGAATCTTATTGCTGTAAGTAAATAGTTTTATTTGAACATACAAGTCTGCGCAGTTCTAATAATTGAAGAATCAGAGATTCCTTTCAGCTGATCATGGCCCATTACGGGAGGAAAACTAAAATCAGTAATGTACAGCAGGCTCTGGAAGGTGTCACCCTCGAAGTCCGGTGCTCATAACAAAATAAAACCCTAAAGCTCGGCTCCTGCGATCAGTTTAAGAAGTTACAGCATCTGTTATTTTCTTGGGGGGTGGGGTGTATAAACTATAGCAATATAAAGACTATTGTAAGAATCCCCGGCTCTGTTGTATGGTTTGTTTTGCATGTAAATGGGGAAATATTGCACTGGCCTCACTTCATATAAGAGGAATGCATATACTGAATATTATAAGTTATAGCTCCATACTGATGGCAGAGGACCTTTTCACTATAGTCATCCCTTTTAGCTCCTACTCTCATGATGACCACTAATTCTGAAAATTCTGCGCTGAGGCCCCCACACTGATCCTCTTTACATTTAGTACACTGTATGATCCTACAGACAGGATTTACATTGAAGGGAAGTCCATACATCTGCAGCAGGTAAGAGCAGTAAAGTGGAAGTTGGTGTAAATGTGACTTTGCTTTGCCTGGCACTGTATGCCGTCTCCCAGCTTCAGAGTGCACGGCTCGGGGCCCGGCCTGTTCATTGACAGGAACTCTGACTTCAGGGGATGGGTAATCCTCCACCACAAGCTGAGGAGACGCAGGCATAATAAAGCTAGATACGTGTAATGTAAATCTTTGTTGCTGTGATCAATTCTGTTTATTTAATATGGGAAATGCCTTCAGCCTCTCGTTCAGGATCCTTTTATGACCGACCTTTTCTTATTTACAGCCAATATTTTTGCATCGGACGCTCACTTATATGTCTCACCGCAACTCGCGATCAAATGCCAGAAGGTAAATAGTGTTGCTGTGCAGGTTTTGTGTCCTGTCTACTCTCCTCGCACATCCCCCTGAGTGGAATATAAGAAATCGGCTTGGTTGGGTGCTGGGCTCTCGGTTTTGGTTGTAGGTCGGGATTCTTGTGTGCTGTGATAACTGTTATTCTTGTGCTTTTACTTGTTATGGTATCTTGTTACATGTTCATGTGCCTATTTGTATGAATTAATCCGACAAGATTCATTTCATGGGTGTAAGACCTAATCCGACAATATTCATTTCATGTGTTTAACCATATCGGCCTCATCCACTGATAGCTTTGTCAGCCGGCCCACCATCCAGCTGACCCTAAAATGCCATTAGGACACTTTGATTAACTGGCGTTTGGGGTATTTATGCTGCAGGGAATTGACAAATACAGAAACGTTGAAATGCTTTTATTTTTATACCCGTGTGCTCTCTATAGAACCAATCATATGAGATGGTGATAAGAGTTCTGCACGCGTGGGTCATGGCAATGAGATCTCTGCAAGACCGTACATGTGAGATCTCTACAAGACCGTACATGTGAGATCTCTACAAGACCGTACATGTGAGATGGTGGTGAGATCTCTACAAGACCCTACATGTGAGATGATGGTGAGATCTCTACAAGACCGTACATGTGAGATCTCTACAAGACCGTACATGTGAGATCTTTACAAGACCCTACATGTGAGATGGTGGTGAGATCTCTACAAGACCATACATGTGAGATGGTGGTGAGATCTCTACAAGACCATACATGTGAGATGGGGAGGAGGTCTCTACATGACCATACATGTGAGATGGCGATGTTATCTTGACAAGGCAATGTATGGGCCATTGTGGTGAGGTCTCTGCATTGGGAGATGGGGGGTCATGTTTCCTGCATAGACTTTCTGGCAAACCTATTTGCGCTCTATGTACCCTGGCCTAGGTATGCATGTTTACCAGTGACACTATGTACACTATGGAACAAGTGTGAAAATGGCGGCTTTTGACCATATTCTGACTTTCTGGGATGAGGCAATAACAGGCCCTTGGTATAATTACGGAAAATTGTTATCATACTTACCGTAATTTTCCTTTCCTGGCTCATCCTCATGTCTGCACCGTATGGGTCAGCTCCTCCCCCTCTGACCCCACAGGACCACCTTTAACAAGCTGATAAAAAGGCGATCCCCTCCCCTATTACCTTGTTCCATAAAAAAGCCGAGCAGCAGGCCAACCAGGGAAGGGAACGCATGCCGACATGAGGATGAGCCAGGAAAGGAAAATTACGCTAAGTATGATACCAATTTTCCGTATTCCTGGCTCGCCTCATGTCGGCACCGTATGGGATATAACAAGCATAACTCCCAATGGGCGGGAACAACAAAACAAGAAGAAAACACCCACAGGAAGGAATACTGCAAAAATAGAATCCACCGGACCAGCCCTGACTCGCCGCTGCTCTCCCACGCCGAAGGTAAGTGGGGGAAAAAAAAAAACATAGGGCAAACATCGGGGCATTTTGACAAGTACAAGTACTTGTCAAAATGACCTGTTTTTACAGGGGGTCGGGGGAGGGTAGGGTAGGGGAGGGGGGCGCAAAAATGCACCTTGCCTGTGTAGGCAAGAATCCTAGCACCGGCCCTGCCGGCAGTGCAGCGAGGGAACATGAAGCCAGCTTCCCGGCCAATCAGCATTGAGCCAGCCATACGGCATGGAGCCAACATCCCGGGCAATCAAGAAGAAGAAGCCGGGCAGTGGGTAATGAAACGCCGCCTGGCTTATTGATTGCCTGGGAAGCCGGCTCCATGCTAGCAGAAGTACCGGTATCGGCGCATCCCTATCGGCACCGTATGGGATATAACAAGCATAACTCCCAATGGGCGGGAACAACAAAACAAGAAGAAAACACCCACAGGAAGGAATACTGCAAAAATAGAACATCTTTACTTGTCCTGTAGGATGCTGGCCCTGTAATAGGTGAGGCAGAAGAGGCGTAGAAACAGCAGAGACAACCAAAGAGAGTTGCCCTGCTGAAAACCGGCGAACAGCACTTTTGAAATTGCCGCCGAGACTCCGGCGTCCCGTTTTAAGTACTGTGCGTGCGCGAGCGAA